CATTCTTTATCTCAATTGATTCAGAGTATTTTATTATCAAAATATATATACTTCATTTGTAAATACATATTGATCTGATGGCATAAATAAGCGATAACAGTTTTTATCATCGTAGATTTTTCGGCGATATATAAAGTTCAGTCTCCGAGTGAAACGTGTATGCTAATTTGCGAGAATTAACGAATGACATTGAGTAATGGAGAAAACTGGTAACTGTCACTCCGACTCTTGTAACAATGGCCAATAAGATACACAGTTGCAATGGAACTTTTCTGTTCATTTAATTGTCCTAACGACTGACCTTTCTACTGCTCCCTTATCTCCCTGCTGCGATGGGATTATCAGAAGTTTTGTCGCTTGCCTATTTAGAATAAAAGTTAATACAGTTCATATAAATACAATTCTTTATTAAGATCTCTCTGTTTTAAATAATTACAATAAGCATATATAAGTCATAATAAACATAATATTTGTGTATCGTTCAGCATTAAAAATATTCGTAAGGGAGCAGAACATCACATTATTTATTTAGCATCAAATAAGATTATTTCATTTTCAATTTATAATTCTCAATCCCTATATTTATAATATAAAATAATATATTTTTTATAATATATTTATAATATTTTAAAAGTCTATCTTAGAAAATAGTTTATAATATTAAATTTAACAAAATTTAGATTTCTAATTCCAAGTATGGTTTAATAAATAAGAGAATTATATATAATTAAATATGTCCTTTAACAAAATTTCCTTTAAGAACATTTTCCTAAATTAATCGTACAAATGATGCAAAATCTGTCCCAATCCGTACCTTTAATGCCAGTTAGAGAGTTCAGTACTGTGCCCGTTAGCATCGATTCCCGATCAGCGGAACGTTCTGCGGCTCGTTAAGACGACCGAAGTCGGCTTTTGCCTCGGATCTCCGAAGCATATACCTAGATAATTAATGGCAAGAGCATCGGTGCAGCGGTGATAGGCGGACTACGCGAGCAGACACCAGGCTGCGTCTCGCGCCTGCAACGGTCAAGACAGGTGCCACGGGGATTGGGCCGATCCTGCGATCGCGGGGTTTGTACGTCGAGTGAATAATGCGAATGTACTTGTATCCCAGCATCCGATCGTACCCTACGTGGAAAGGAAGGTGAAGTCGCCAGAGCGCACCGCCTCGGTATTATCCGCTTATATCGTTCGTCTGTGCGAGTGCACAAGTATGCAAGACGCGATGGACACGCACACACACAAACGTGCTCGCGTGTCGAGGATTAAAGACGTACGAGAGCCACGTGCAGAGATACGAGAGAAGAAAAGGAAAAAAAGAGAGGTAGAGAAAAAGCGAGGAGAAGGGGGAGGGGAGGGAGAAAGAGTACCTGTATAGAAATAAACTCTCATATGCCGAAAACGTAGAGAGGCAAAGCTCGTATTCATTGCCCATTGGACTGTTTCCTAACATTCCCAGTCCCATTCATGGACAGCAAGACGTGGGGTTTGCAGTAAATTAACGTTAGACGGGGCTGGGCGGTATTCGTATACGTTTGCGGTACCGTGAAACACGGTATTTGCAAGCAAAAGTTTATTTGAAAGTTGCTTAGCGAGATTATGGAGGATAATCAGATAGGGATAATCAAGTAAAATCTTTTTTACATTATTTTTGAAATAATCTATTGACAATCGTATATATATCGTATATACAGCAAATGTTAGATAAAATATTTTTTTGGTATTTAATTTTTAAAAATGCATCCTATCAACCACATCAATTTTAATTTATCGAAGCATTATGAATTTTTTCTAATTGAGTATTCGCTTCGAGAATAAACCGTTCTGTCAGATTAAAAATAAGTCAGAAATAAGTAAAAAAATACTTATTTTTATAATAACTAATATAATCTCGTATAAACCATAATCTCCAGTATAAACTCATCTTTTTTATATGATAGAAGTATATCAATGAAGTGTAAATACTTTTTATATAAATATAATTGAATATTGTTTGTAATTTAACTAGGTGTTCTTATGATTTATTTTTTGTTAAAACAATAAATTTTTCGATAACAGCTATATTAAAGATATATAAGAAGTATAATATTTTTTTCAAAAGTGATTAATGTATATTATTTATATATTACCTACAATATTTTTACGAATAAACATCAAGCGAAAAATAAATTCGAAACGCGTACAAGTCCTTCTGCGAGAATTTCACGCCTGTTTCATAGCTGATATTTTGTCACCGTGTATCCACCAATTGACTTAATGATCCGAGTGAATCTATTCTCGATGCAGGACCTAAATGCATACACGAGGTAACATATTGGGTGTTCACACGGTTAACAAGCATCTGAGCAAACAGTCTCCAACAGCCTTGACAAAACAGCTGTGACCCTTGCAATTGGGCAGCTTCCCTATTTAGGAAAATTATTGTAAAAGATCAAAATACATAATTAACTTCTCCAAACAGATACTTTTTTCTTATGCAAAATAATCATATGTAAAATATAATTTTATTAAAATGAGATTATTAATATTAGCAAGCATTACAGCATAATGCATGTAATCATATATTTCATATATTTATCTAAATACTTATCATTACATGTTGTTTCTGCGTTATTACAATTTTTTTATAAAAATCTGGTTGTATTTAGGTTGTATTGAAATTTTTAACTCTCTTTTTTTTAACTCTCTTTCTCCGTCTCTCTCTCTCTCT